GCTAGCACCGACCACCGGCGAGGCAAAGAATGTGTTTCACAAAAAATGAAGGCTGCTGGGAGGTATAACATTCTTCTGCACCTTGCGACCGGAGCTGTCAATGACTAACTACAAGGTGAGCGCCGAACGAGGCGGAATACGATCGTCAGCGATTGCACCGTAAAACTTCGAAGCGGTTCGAAGTAGGCTTCGCTCGACTACGGCAGGCTGGCCGGCAACCGGTGTGAGAGTTGCGCCGGCGACGCGCTCGCCCCGTCTCCGCCGATAGTGGCTTCTCGAAGTGTCAGCGGTATTTCAGCGGCTGCAACATCTAAGCGGTAGGAAGGCCTCGCTATGGCGTTGGTATAGAGCCGGCATCGTATCGAGCTCGCACTGCGCACCGGCCGCCGTGGCGATCTCTGCGTCGCTCGCATGCAATGCGATGCATGCGAGCGAAGGGTACAGCGACTGCGAACCGTCTCATTCGTTTAAGTCTATCGCTTCGTAGCTTAAACTGCGTGGGTAGCGGACACCTATTTCTGTGCATGGGAAAAACGAGACGTTAACTGCACATCAGCAAGCATTTTGTGATCGCCAGCTCTCATTCATCGAATCACCGTGCCGCACTCATGAATGAGGCCTAGTCGTCGAACGCGGTAGCGGCGGTCTACCTCGGTTCATCGCTGGAGCTGCTGAATGTGCCTCGTTAATTTGTTCATTCAAGGCCGCGCGCACTTTGTGTATGATTCCGTGCATTTTACGGGTCCACAAACAGTATTGCTAATGCAAATTCAGCCCGTACGACAGAGCGTCAACTGACAAAACTTTTTCGCTATAGTAAAAAATAATAAATATTAGGCAGGTTTAGAATAAAAGGCATGTGTGTTCAAGTGCTTACATAAGACCATCGCAAGTTCATGCTTACGCCGTGCGTATTTATTGCTTAATTATTAGCAAAAAAAGGCTTTTACTAGGGCTACATGGGAGGCAAGAATGTGGTGCATATATATACCACGTGACTACATGGTAGGTGTGTACTGCGTGTGGCAAGCTGTGGTGAGTGCGAGTGTTGTGATATAACGTGAACGTTGTGGTATTGTTTGTGTACTGTAATCATTGTTGTGCGCATTAAATGTTATGTAATTAAAGTTACGCTTGCGCATGGTACGGCTGCTGACGTAATTTTTTTCTTTGTCGATGCAAAAAATTTACTCCCATACTGACCTGAAAAAGTTCCCCAATGGATGTAAATAAAAACCCCCCTGGCACCATGCGAAAACCCCCTACCGATGGGGAGTAAAGTAAAGTTTTTATATACTCCCTCCGGACAGTGTTTATAAAACTCCCATCGGGGCGTGCACTAGAGGACAAGGTCATTTACTCCCATCTCGGCTTATTTCTGTTCACAGTGATGCGCAAATATTTCACGTGACATGCATTTTGTTAAACCTTTAGCAGATAATGGAAACTAATCTGCAGAAGTGAGGCAAACATACGAAACAAAACGAGAGGGGGGGGGGGGTTGAACATTTGAAACTAGGGTCCTATTTTATATCCATCATATCGGGCATTTGACAGTTTGAATTTCGGTAAGGTTTTAGAAAATGTATTGATACGGATGTCAAAAATTACTCAAACTCAAACACGCATTTTGAAATAAAGAGTTTATCTCCACGGTTATGTTTTAACGCATTGTGATCACGTGAGGGACTTTTAAGCCAGCACGAATAAACAATCACAGAAGCGAGGGTCGCATACATGATGGGCGTTGTCCATTCCTCGTATGTTCATCACGGCGGTGCTTTGGGCTACTTGGTTCAACTGCCACAAAGTAGTTAAACTTTTTTGCGTTCAATGCAGGCAGTGCCCCCAAAAAAAGACTTGCAACCCTAAACGTCTGGTAGTTAGTGAACGTACTTAAGGCAAACTATTATGGAACGAGGACCGTCATATGTGCGCGGATGGCGGGTTTGACACCTGATTTATAGCAGCGCTTGTCGATGGCACTACAACTGGTATAGTCCATGTTAGTCTGACATTTAAATAGCACGCACCCACACATCTCAACAGTTTACCACACATGCGAATGAATACAACAATGTCTCGGCTGATGAAGAGTCTGTTGTCTTTCCAGCCTATGTTCTATGCAACCCCGCGCTCTCATTTCTCAACTGTGTCGGCCGTCTTCAGAGCACCGAGTTGAATACCGCTTTCGAATGCGTCACGCATGACCTGTTGCCCGAGACGCGGGCGCCGCGCGCGGATCATAAAGACGGAGGTTCATGGGGCGACAACGTCAGCAGGGCCTCGTGTCGAATGTGGCGGCACATGTTGCTCGAAAAGAAGCAGTAGATGAGCGGATTGGCGACGCTGTTCAGTGGTGCCAGGCTCTGAATGAACGTTGCGACGGCGATGGCCGCCTGAGTCTTCGGAGTCGCGCCATACACTTGGAGCAAGTCGTAGATGAAGTACGGGCTCCAGCAGAAGACGAACGCTGCGTGTGGAAGGAAAAAAAAAAGAAGCTCAGGAAGACACCAACATAATATGACAAGAAAGTCGATCTGTGAAGGGTTGTATCTTAATGAATACTCGAAGCGCATACATTTTACTTCAAATGAAGTACCAAGGCTTTTATAAACTCACAGGAAAACTTCATGCCTTCGCATGAGGGCCTGGCCACGCATAAGCACTTCAACGTTTCAGCGCGTTGGACGTTGTGCTATGCCCTCTCCACGTAGAGAGAAAGGGCGCTTGGTTATGCGAAGCTGCGCCTCTCTCTCTCTCTCTCTCTAAAGAGAGGGCGCCGCGACGCACAAAAAATCCACGAGCTCACACGCTGCAACACGTACTTGTGGTTAGGTCTTAACAGGACTACAGGTCAGAAGACCTCTTCTTTGCTACATTCTACGTACTGATTCAGCTAAACCCCATATGAAAGATTTCAGCAGCTAACTTAGTTCTGCGCCGTAATACGATCGGAGGCATTGCGTCTGCAGTTTACCTGGTTTTGCAATGCATCTGTTATCATCCTATCTTTCATCAAGTGACGATGTCATCTGAAGACGTCATCAGGTGACATCCAAACGTCACGATTCTAGAACATTTGTGTGATTTGTGATGGTACGATGACCTCACACGGTGACGCCATCATGCGTTGATAATTATTAGGATCACTCTTGTTGGCACCGCTGACGACAATGGTCAACATTTTAACCCAATGATGCACTTTAGGTTTTCAATCGAATAACCGAATTGAGAATTAAGAAGTTTGAGACTATTTCGAACTAGCATTGTAATGTTTTCACGCCCTCTCTAAGGAATAAAAACTTGTTTGAATCCACTCTTGTGCTACGGTGACGTTACTTAGAACCAGTATCTTAATGTCAACTACCACGCATCATTATTGCCCGCCACAGGCTGTGTTAAAACATTTGAAGATTTTGCTGAATGATGTAAAACCAACGTTTGTTTATTTGCGTCTCTTTGATTTATTTGTAACAACGTGTTTTAATGTAAACATCGTCGACTGTTTCCTTATGGAGTTATACGGAAGGCTTATTAGGTTGAAAGGAAAACGTGAAGAGGAGCAGCACGTTGAGAAGCCCATGGTCTTGTATATGCTAGTGTGTCGTTCTTCGCGATGTTGCAAAACGGGAGCTTGCAAAATCTGCGTTTTTAATAGCGGCGGCCCGGATTAATCCGGAGTAGTCTTCATTTTCATCAGCAACGTGCCTGTGAGTATTTCTTCATTTTTTTTCTTGGTAACATTTTCTGTCAATCTGCATGATCTAAACGAATTGTAATTGAAAATGACACATGTAGCATTTTCGCCTTATAGAGACTACTCACCCCCACGAGTTAGCGTGCATGTCCTTGCTGTTTCTTGAGGTGGAGTGTTTGGCCGGGAGAAATTTCTATTGTAAACTGCACTGAAAGCGTGTGAGGTGTAGCCGTGCTCACAATATTGTTTTAATATGCAGTTGCTCTTTATTTTAACATTAAGATATGCACGTAGGCATTTCATTGTAATTACAATTTGAAAGTGTGTTTATTCTGGTATATAATTGCTTTGCAGCTGTAGTTAGCTCAAAAGCATCAGCTTAAAAAAAACTGCTTGAAAAAAAATCAGTTGTTTGGCGTTAGGTAAATTATTGCTATAAACAATGTGCTCCACTTCATGATATGAAAGAAAAATGAGATTTCGGGATTAACCTGGGCCCAATACTTTTATTATTAAATGTCTTTGTTTCAGATAATGATGCCCGATATCAGTTGATGTTGGCAGCAGGCTTCCACACTAATATTAAAATAATTATGCCTTGGTATCTGAAACCACATTCTCTTATCATTCGTATAATTGAGCTAGCGTCATGATAAGCTCTATTGTAACGACCACCTTTGGGGGGACAAAGCACAGTTGAAGCATGAAACGCAGCTTTGAGTAATGCTTGTTTTCATGCGTGACATTGTTTTCATCACTGGTAAAATTAAGAGCTTGAAAATTATCCCTCGTTTGATTGCTACAGCCATTACCTGATTAGGTCAAACACATAGGCATATGAAAGACAGAGCCCATAAGCTTGAAAGTTTAAATCTCATCATAGCACCCTTCTGACACCTAATGTCATTCTCGCTACGCTCTAAAGTGTTGTCTTTTCGTTTCTTGAATATAAACAGATGTTCTGCACAGTATGAATGGAATGCATATGACTGCGTTAAGTTGAAGATGTTTCAATTTATTGAGCTATTATTCGAATATCCGCGTCACCAATACTACATTAGAGATATAGCCATTCCACTGCCGAATGGCAATAGAACTAGGAGAGCAAACCTTTACATATGAGACATCTCACCTAAAACTATGATCAGAGTCATCTTGACCGTCGTGACTTTTGCTTTTGGAATCACTCACCGAGAGCTTGTTCTTCTCGTGTCGGCCGTCTTCAGAGCACCGAGTTGAATACCGCTTTCGAATGCGTCACGCATGACCTGTTGCCCGAGACGCGGGCGCCGCGCGCGGATCATAAAGACGGAGGTTCATGGGGCGACAACGTCAGCAGGGCCTCGTGTCGAATGTGGCGGCACATGTTGCTCGAAAAGAAGCAGTAGATGAGCGGATTGGCGACGCTGTTCAGTGGTGCCAGGCTCTGAATGAACGTTGCGACGGCGATGGCCGCCTGAGTCTTCGGAGTCGCGCCATACACTTGGAGCAAGTCGTAGATGAAGTACGGGCTCCAGCAGAAGACGAACGCTGCGTGTGGAAGGAAAAAAAAAGAAGCTCAGGAAGACACTCAACATAATATGACAAGAAAGTCGATCTGTGAAGGGTTGTATCTTAATGAATACTCGAAGCGCATACATTTTTACTTCAATGAAGTACCAAGGCGTTTATAAACTCACAGGAAACTTCATGCCTTCGCATGAGGGCCTGGCCACGCATAAGCACTTCAACGTTTCAGCGCGTTGGACGTTGTGCTATGCCCTCTCCACGTAGAGAGAAAGGGCGCTTGGTTATGCGAAGCTGCGCCTCTCTCTCTCTCTCTCTCTAAAGAGAGGGCGCCGCGACGCACAAAAATCCACGAGCTCACACGCTGCAACACGTACTTGTGGTTAGGTCTTAACAGGACTACAGGTCAGAAGACCTCTTCTTTTGCTACATTCTACGTACTGATTCAGCTAAACCCCATATGAAAGATTTCAGCAGCTAACTTAGTTCTGCGCCGTAATACGATCGGAGGCATTGCGTCTGCAGTTTACCTGGTTTTGCAATGCATCTGTTATCATCCTATCTTTCATCAAGTGACGATGTCATCTGAAGACGTCATCAGGTGACATCCAAACGTCACGATTCTAGAACATTTGTGTGATTTGTGATGGTACGATGACCTCACACGGTGACGCCATCATGCGTTGATAATTATTAGGATCACCCTTGTTGGCACCGCTGACGACAATGGTCAACATTTTAATCCAATGATGCACTTTAGGTTTTCAATAGAATAACCGAATTGAGTATTAAGAAGTTTGAGACTATTTCGAACTAGCATTGTAATGTTTTCACGCCCTCTCTAAGGAATAAAAACTTGTTTGAATCCACTCTTGTGCTACGGTGACGTTACTTAGAACCAGTATCTTAATGTCAACTACCACGCATCATTATTGCCCGCCACAGGCTGTGTTAAAACATTTGAAGATTTTGCTGAATGATGTAAAACCAACGTTTGTTTATTTGCGTCTCTTTGATTTATTTTGTAACAACGTGTTTTAATGTAAACATCGTCGACTGTTTCCTTATGGAGTTATACGGAAGGCTTATTATGTTGAAAGGAAAAACGTGAAGAGGAGCAGCACGTTTGATAAGCCCATTGGCTTGTATATGCTATTGTGTCGTTCTTCGCGATGTTGCAAAACGGGAGCTTGCAAAATCTGCGTTTTTAATAGCGGCGCCCGGATTAATCCGGAGTAGTCTTCATTTTCAGTCAGCAACGTGCCTGTGAGTATTTCTTCATTTTTTTTCTTGGTAACATTTTTCTGTCAATCTGCATGATCTAAACGAATTGTAAATTGAAAATGACACATGTAGCATTTTCGCCTTATAGAGACTCACCCCACGAGTTAGCGTGCATGTCCTTGCTGTTTCTTGAGGTGGAGTGTTTTGCCGGGAGAAATTTTCTATTGTAAACTGCACTGAAAGCGTGTGAGGTGTAGCCGTGCTCACAATATTGTTTTTAATATGCAGTTGCTCTTTATTTTAACATTAAGATATGCACGTAGGCATTTCATTGTAATTACAATTTGAAAGTGTGTTTATTCTGGTATATAATTGCTTTGCAGCTGTAGTTAGCTCAAAAGCATCAGCTTAAAAAAAACTGCTTGAAAAAAAATCAGTTGTTTGGCGTTAGGTAAAATTATTGCTATAAACAATGTGCTCCACTTCATGATATGAAAGAAAAATGAGATTTCGGGATTAACCTGGGCCCAATACTTTTATTATTAAATGTCTTTGTTTCAGATAATGAATGCCCGATATCAGTTGATGTTGGCAGCAAGTCTTCCACACTAATATTAAAATAATTATGCCTTGGTATCTGAAACCACATTCTCTTATCATTCGTATAATTGAGCTAGCGTCATGAATAAGCTCTATTGTACGACCACCTTTGGGGGGACAAAGCACAGTTGAAGCATGAAACGCAGCTTTGAGTAATGCTTGTTTTCATGCGTGACATTGTTTTTCATCACTGGTAAAATTAAGAGCTTGAAAATTATCCCTCGTTTGATTGCTACAGCCATTACCTGATTAGGTCAAACACATAGGCATATGAAAGACAGAGCCCATAAGCTTGAAAGTTTAAATCTCATCATAGCACCCTTCTGACACCTAATGTCATTCTCGCTACGCTCTAAAGTGTTGTCTTTTCGTTTCTTGAATATAAACAGATGTTCTGCACAGTATGAATGGGAATGCATATGACTGCGTTAAGTTGAAGATGTTTCAATTTATTGAGCTATTATTCGAATATCCGCGTCACCAATACTACATTAGAGATATAGCCATTCCACTGCCGAATGGCAATAGAACTAGGAGAGCAAACCTTTACATATGAGACATCTCACCTAAAACTATGATCAGAGTCATCTTGACCGTCGTGACTTTTGCTTTTGGAATCACTCACCGAGAGCTTGTTCTTCTCGTGTCGATATCCTTCCCATGAGCTCCTGAAAATTGCAAAGAAAACTATGCAGCTTGTATGTGCAGTACCATGACAATGGCAGCAGAAATCGGCTGTAATTGGCAAATATTGCTTGGATTCACTGGAGATGACTCCAGCAAGGAAACGTTGTGAGAGTGACCCTAATTAAAAATAATACTCTTGGCAAAACCGTTACTATGACCTGCATCTTACCAGAGCTATTCATAAACGTAGATAGTAGGGTCGGGTAAATATTGGTGGCTTTTAGGAACACTAAAGCAACAGTAAAGATGCAGGCAGTTTTACCATGTACTGACTTATTTTCGCAAATGTATTTGAAATAGATGTACATAAAATTAAGAGATAATTGATTCTTGCCGTTGGCTTTGCGAAACCCGCCCATTAGATCAAATCTTTATTCGATTATCTCACAGGAGGCAACCATCAGTGACATAAAAAGCAGCTTCTTGCATATATAAGGCAGTAAATACTCAACCCAGAAAAACGGTTGAAAATCGAAGTAGTTATTCTTAAAGGTGGAGAGGTATTGCCATGGCTTCACTTAGAGACTTTAGTAACTTAAGGAAGTTGAGAGATTTAGACACTGACCAATCAATCGATGAGAAAAATAAGCACACGATCCTCTGTTGACTCACTGAAAGAAAGTTCACTGGAAGAAAAGTTATGACAATGTAACCACCAATAAATGCGAATAGCAGTAATATCAAGAAAAGCACTAGAAACTTTCATTGTTGTCTGTAAATACAGCAATATATACATAAAGTACATTAAAATAGCTTATCGTAACAAGAAGCATTCTTTGGGTCAGAAAGATTAAAACTCCAACAGGCTCCAAATTGGTTACGATCCCATCGACAGAAAAACGTTTTTTGACAGCTTTAATTTAAATGGCAATTTTACTTAAGCTAAAATTACTACACTACCCAGAATGAAAATTAACATCATCAATGTTTTACGCGGCTTGATTGTCTAGTGTAATCCTTTCCTTTTGTCTGACGATGAAGCGAGCCACTTGAAGAGATTCTCCTTGGTGACATAAAATAATGCAGAAAGGGTTAGAATCACAAGCCGTCTAGCTCTAGATTTTCGAGAGATTGTTTTGATGTTTTGGCACAGCCTCAACTAACTCGACTTACAGGTTGACTGAAATGATACTTCGTAACAGCCACAAGGATACTTCAAGCCACATCTATAGCGTATACCCAGTGAAAAATGGAACCTGTATTCCCAGGTGCCTTTTATATACGGTCAAATACCTCGCCACTACGGGAGAGATACTTTTAATTTCTTGCAAGATAGCGAATGCATTACAAACGCTGAGTAGCATTTCTTAGAAAGGATGACATCCTCCTCTTGCCCAAATTTTTTAGGGATCTGTACCTTTTAGTATTTTGCTCCGTTTCCATATGGTGTAGACAATAATGCTGTAGCAGGCAGCAATTAGCAAGGTCGGTATGAAGAAGAGAGAGCCAGCAACCAGGGTCATGTACACTTGCCACTGCCACAACTCGAGCTCAATCCAGCACTGGAGACGGCCGTGCACTATCGCCTCGCCGTTGAGGAAGATGGAGGGCAGTGACATGGCCACTGATGCAGCCCAGGCTAGTGCTACCAGCCAGCGCGCACGCCTCCCTGCGGACAAGTTTGATAGCAGTTGATGGTGCTGCGTTGTTGAATTACACTGGAATCAATATAGCTGATACATTACAGCTTTCATACTAATTTGCAATCACTATTGCAGTCGCTGAACGAAACACTTCTTGCTCCGACGTCCACCAGGTGGCCTAAACTTCTAGACATGGCCGCCGGTCTACAACCATTATATCATACTTAGAGCTAGGGACGAATTTTCACAGTCAGCACGCGATACCTCCCGAATGTACGTTCTAGTAGCGCAGTCTTCGAATTGCGAGTAGTGCCATCCGTTCCCAATAACAGTGCGTTTTTTTTGCACCGAAAGCTTGTATGACGTCACATGCACCGTAGTTGTCCGCCAGCGCCACTGGTGTCCGTAACCACTGCCGCGAAATATTAAGAAAAACTAAGTACAGTAAAAAAAATTGCGCTAGACAAAATGGGATTCGAATCCGGGTCGCCTGCACGCCAGCAGAGTATGCTACTGCTGAGTTACGCACGTGCTTGAAATTCTATTGCAAACTGACCCTAGGCAGGCTTCATATATGAATTCAAATCGCATTATAGCGTGTAATAAATTGTTTTAGAACAGTCAAGAAACGACGAGGCGTAACACAATGCTAATTGCGTAACTAATGGGTCGTCGAGTGGTCCCACCTAATGAAATTATGCTAGGCGTTCTAGTCTATTGTGGTCAGCCACAGCATAAAGAATTCTACAAAATTTCTCACACGTATCTAGCGAGTACCACCCTTCTTCGAAGAATGACGAAGAATGGATAGTCAATGCCTCTCTACTACAAATAAATTATGATGACTCTAAGTGTAGCGGTAACCTTGCAAGTGTGCTTGTAGCGGTAACCCAAAGAAGGCTTACAAAAGTGAGAACGAGGTGTAAGAATATCAGATAGTGTTTATTTGATATCTGCCGCCAGGGTAAACGCTAGCGCCCGATGCGAAGCAGCGGGCTCTAGCGTTGACTTCCTACTTCCTACTAAACCGGTGCTTCCTACTGGAACATGTGAATCACTGCTAATGGCCAAAAATTTACAGAAGGCTCAACTTGGACACAGCTACCTGCAGTTTGCTTTTCGTTAACCCGCACGTTTTAACTTTTTATTCAACATTGCACCAGAGATATCACTCACCAGCACAGCACTACCTTGCGCTGTATTGAAGGTAGAGATCCAGTGCCTATATATACGGAGTTGCCAGCGAATGGTTTTGTCACGCGAGCAGTCTTTTTTTTTTCCTATCAAGAAACTCGTGAGCAGAAGCTGAAAGACGAGAGACGGGAGAGCGTAGGAGAGGATAGAATGAGAGGGCAAGGGAACCTGCATGCGCAATGGATGTGTGAATGCCACTGGGAGAGATGCCTAGAGGAGAGAGTGTGGTAGTCACCGTTGTACAGAATAGAGCGAGAGGGCCATGCATGCGCCATAAAGGTGGTCACGCCACACACCAAGTTGAGCACAATCATAAAAAGCTTCGCATCTATTATTTTATTTTGTAAAACTATATCACTTGTGTCCGCGGCTGTGAGTGAAAGGTATACATTTACTGGGTACGAGTAAACAGCGGACGTAAATCATTTTTCTGCCACAATATAATTTTTTACAAAATTACTTAAATTAACCCTATGAAGATCATGTGAGAAGCCGTGCAAATCAGTAGCCTTGTTCAGCGGGCTTTGGCTATTGCAGAGGATGCCTTAGGTGTCTCAAAATAGCGACCGTCCACGTTTTTTCTAATAAAATAAAAAACAAGTAATAATATCCTCAAAACTAACGCAAGCGACGAAAAAATATCACAACAAATTTGAGTATAGCATTTGAGTAAAAAACGAGACTTGCCCTCAAGATTGGTGTAATGTGCATCAGTTCGAACAACACATCATTTCTTTCTTTTTTGTAGCTTCCAGACGTGCATATTATCTTAAGATTGTTAACTATGGATAGGCTACTTACAGCTTCCGGAGAAATTCATAGGCCTAGTGATGGCGTCATACCGGTCGATACTCAGTGCCACCAGCACGTATGTGGAAGAGTACGTAACCAGGACCTGTGTGTGGTAAAGAAACATTCGAGACTCTTCTGTCATAGCTTTAACTTGGTCTAGTGTATGCCATCACCACGAAAACGTATATATATATATATATATATATATATATATATATATATATATATATATGCGACCTAACAGACACTAATGCAAAGGAAAGTAGAGGGGAAGGTGTTAAACCGAATCGTATTGTAATTATTAAGAAAGAAAAGTGGGTGAAAGGATAGCTTGCCGCGGGCAGGATCCGAACCTGCCACCTTCGAATATCGCCTTCGCTGCTCTACCACTAAGTCACCACGGCAAACATCCCCCAGCCACTTTACCGGGTATATATGTGAATTTAAACGTGGCAGTGTCAGTCAGTGCAACCAGTAGCCATGGCGGCGAGTGTGGCACACTCTTGATGAGCCGGTTTGGTGTCACGTAGCACGTGAACTTATTACAAGCTGGCAGTTGACCCATAGTCCCTCGTATACAACCTAAGGGCACCACGTCTGCCAGTACGAGGCCCTAGTTAATGAAAAGAGAAAGAAGTGTATACCTAAGGGCCGAGCCCTTTTGTATACACTTCTTTCCTTTATATATATATATATATATATATATATATATATATATATATATATATATATATATATATATATATATATATATATATATATATTGGATTTTTTCAACGTCATTCATGCTGAACGCCACGTATGGTATGCAAGATAGGGACAACGACACTTCCATGAAACATCTCTTCCGAACGTTTACAGCTGGTGGACCTGCGAAAGAAGTCTGGTGCACCAGCTGAAAACGCTCAGTAAGTATCTTTACATGAAGGTATCTTTGCTCCTTTTTGATTATATATGCATGTCGCTGATCCTGGGGAACAAACTTCTACGTATGCTGTTACGGAGTTCACCATTCATCACACATGGTCTTACAGACCAAATTGCAGGTATTTATACTAGCTGTGAGCAGGGGCGCTAGAAATGGCCTGTGTTCAAGTATTAAAATATAATACAAAGGAGTGCGCATTTAAGCAGCACATACAAGTATTTCCAGTGTGTACGAAGAAATAAATAAATTAAAAGCACTCCTCTCACACTGAGATTCTTGTAACAAACGAGATAGTTCCAATGGAGATTCAAAGAGATGCACCGCTATTTACAGGGCAATATACACAGTTCGAGAGAGAGTGATACAGCCCCATTTTCAATGCAAAAAGAAAACATTTCTATCGAGTGAACACTAAAAGCCTTGCGTATATATTCAGAAACCTGTGCTGGTACAAAAGAAGTTCCAAATGTTTAGGTGCTGTTCGCACATGCTGTTCACATGCCACAGAAACACTGCGAAGAGACGCAGGATATTTTTCATAGCTTAAGTTGTTATAAGAATGCAAGGGTCATTTTGGAGCCGTAGTTGTCTGCTGACACTTGTGTCCGTAACCACTGCCGCACAAAATAAGAAAACATCCGCTCGAGAAGGACTCTTACCCGGGTCCTATGCATAGTAGTCCAGCATTCTACTACAAATACACGTCAGTGCTTGTAAATGCTTGGCAACATGCCCATGAAGGCATCATGTTGGTGAAAGAATCACGTTAACATGTGTAGTAGAAGGTTTTAAAAGAGTAGCATAACAACCACACGTCACACAATGCGAACTGCGAAACGAATATGTCGCTGAGTGCTTTCAGGCCACCACCCTAAAAAATTTACCCGTAACTCATTACCGTCGTCAGCCACAGCATCAGCGAGTTCCTCAAGATGCCTTACAGCTGGCTCTACAGCGGGTATTACGATTATCCAAGTATCAATGAGTGGTGTAGTGTGTGCTACCCCATAACTGAAAAGTTATAATGAGTTTTGATGCAGTAAATACCATACAGCTGTGCCTTTATTAGTTGCCCCAAGAGTTTCAAAAAAGATCGAAAAAGACAATTCAGTGTACTGTTGCTGCGACTGTGCTGTGCATTCCGCTGATACCTAGCACTTTTCTTGCTTCAATGCATGAACGGAGGCATAATATAAAAGGCAGATTTCTTTTATTTATGCAATTCATTGTAAGAAAAAGACTAGTTTCAAACCATTCATTCATCATAGCAGAAAGTATCATGAGACGGCTGCTAGAAAAACACAATTGAAATATATGCGTAGATACACTCGGCGGGCGGTCAGCTTAACATCGACCCACACTATCTTTTCACTATATAGTGAAACACTATCAGCTTGGGCGCAGGAATTGACCACTTCCACACCGAAAGCTCCCAAGAATTCAATCTTTCACATTGATCTTGCTGCAATAAAGATTGTTCCTCACGAGAAAACTTCACCTCTTTTGCTTCGAACTTCGACCCACACTGCCATGAGTGGAATTAAGAGTACTGTTCGTTGGCTCAGCCGCAGTGGTCTAGTAGTTATGGCGCTCGTCTCCTAATCCGAAGGTCGCGGGATAGAATCGCGGCAGCGGCGGCTGCATTTTTGATGGAGGCGAAAATGTTCTAGGCCCTTGTACTTATAGATTCACGTGCACGTTAAAGAACCCCGGGTATTCATTGTTTCTGGAGTCCTCCTGTACGGCGTCTCTCATAATCATATGATGGTTTCGGGACGGTAAACCCCACACATCGATAGAAACAGTCAACAATTATTTTTAGAGCCAGTTTCAGAGAGTGATTTAGTTGCGGCGTTTTCGGCACTAAGTATTAGCGAAGCCACTTGCGCGGACAATATTCAAAAGAAACCTTTTGTGAGTGTTATTACTATGCTGGAACCCAGTCTAATCTACATATTTAACTTATGTTTGTCCACATCACATTTGCCTCGAAACGTAAAGATAATGACAGTGAGAGTTATCTATAAAGTATTTTGAGAGTATTTTGCGACTGTTTCTGTTCATGCTTTATGGTAATGAGATAGTTTGTATTGATGAATCAGCCCATTAAATTATATCCGCTGACGATATGAACTCGCTGTTTTTTCAAGCAGATGTAGCACTTGTCTGGGTAGTCGAGCAACGCACTTTCTAAAATAACGCACTGTATAAAATTGCCTCTTGCGCCCAAGTAAACACAACAAAACTAAATATAAATGAAACATTGCGCCCAAGTAAACACAACAAAACTAAATCTAAATGAAACAAAGCTCTTTTATTTCCAACCCCCCCCCACCATCCGCAAGTTCTGTTTTTCATATTTTAATTAAATAACCGATGAACTGACGTTGTCATAAGTTCTCAATCATTAGTCGAGTATTTTTCACAAAACATGACATGGCATTTGCACGTGATCTATGCTATTACTAAACTATCTTGGGTAGTCGGCGTCATGCGCCGCCATTGCTACTACTTTCCTATTTCTTTCGCATACTCTTGTATATCTTGTATTCTTCTTCATTATATTATGCCTTTTTTGTATGTTTCACAACGGCAGCTGTAAACGTTAGCAAATTCGCCATTTTGCAAAAAGGAAAGATTTGCGTCCTGCCTGTTAATTAACATATCTCTGGCACAAAGCAGAATTGTTTCAAAAACACTGCACCACTCAGGTTGCATCAGTATATGATTACAAACTAAGTCGTTTTTGTAAGTCTGGTGATTGAAATATAAAGAATGTTAGCCACAATTGGAAGGTTGAAGAAAAAGGTTCCGGCTTATAATGCACGTCTACCTGAAGCGTGGTACATATAAAAATGTAGAACAAAATATGGAGATCAAATGTTGAAGTTTCACCGACCTACAGTTCCGAACCGCAACCAGGCAGTATACCATTGATATATCTTGCATATCACCAAAACAATTGTGATTACTGTTTGCATACTGAGGTGATCTTGCGACTACCTTTATTCTGCCAGCCTTGTAATCTTTTACTTTGCTTTTATTTAATGTGCACCAAACTCTGCTTTTATTTTTGTTGAACCTAGCACCCCGTCTTCTGTGCTACCCTGTGTACTACAGGTCTCTGTTACTCAAGCTGTTCTTATAGTTTTTACCTGCCCTTTTGGTAACGTGCTTTTATTGCGGAATAAAATTTCAATTCAAATCAGGTAATTTACATTTTCAATGTAAGCGTTAGCCTTTTCAGTCATGGATCTTTTATTTCTGTCAGAAATATTTTATTACCTATTTTAGTAATTATTCGAGCCTCAGAAGACGCACACCAAAATTGTTAGTTAGTAGTGCGTGACATGGCTTAAAATGTTAGTTAGTAGTATTTGTTGACATGGCTTAAATTTAAGTCATCATGGCTCTGCCGTCATGAAATGACAAAAATGGCAATTTTATTCTAGCTATTCTCTAAAGTACACAAAGCCTGAACTAACATAGTCTTTGAGTGAGTGGGATCTTTTCAGACAACTTCTGTGCTCCATCCCGAAAACACAGCCTACCCGCCTCTGGTTGCCCACCACGTCGACACCCATGACATTTACCAAGCTTGTTATTCACAGCTCCAAGCTCCGAAAAAAAAATGAAACAATGACGTCGATCGCAGTAGGCATAGTTGAAGAATTACATCTCCAAAAACGAGAATGCTTTGTTTCCGATGTTCTTGAAGAAACCTTTTGTACCGAAAGGGTAAAAAAAAGCACTGCATTTCTTGAACCGAAAGAAATCTCGTAGCGTAGGAGATGAATATTATTCATGGCATGAACGAAATAGCCGAAGTATAGAGCACCTTGTTGACACTAAAAAACTTCATTGAATGCGGCACTGCCAAAACTTAAGAAAATAAATAGAATGACAACTCTGCGGTAAAGCGCGAGTGAAATACAGTGAAATGAATGGTGATTGACAGCGAATCACTTGCAATTTGTTCTGCGCCATTCCTCAAAGCCACGTCTCCTAAGAAAACCCCTTTCTATTAGGACGGAAGTGGAACACATTAGGATTTTTTGTAACCTTCCTCGTCAATCCCCTGATTCTTAAAAATGCACCGGTACTAAATTGTATTTTTACGCTCAAAGATTGATGGTGGAAATGAAAAAAAAATTGATTATTAGGTTGTGTCAGCGTTCTCTGCTCCGTTATTTTAAACGCCACATCAACAGACCTCTCATTAAACCTTGACAGTTTCTATTTACTCATAAGAACATCGTTCTTTGTGGTTGCATGAAATGTTTGAATTGTGTTTTCCTCTTTCGTTTCACCTGAGCGAATTTGACAACTTTGCAGCCGAAGTTGCCTCCATGCCAGTCAACAGTAGTTTTCCAGATGATGTCCGTTAGCACGCTCACCAGACCCACGCCGAGATCTGAAATGAAATATTATAGGTGCTGCTTTCAAAGAAGTCAAATAAATTTCTGCGCCATTTTGTTTTTTTATTGCAGTTTTTCATTTCAATATTTCTTCCTGTTAAGAATTACTACATTTTTCGTATCCTCAAACCGCGATGTCCGATAGGTGGTGGTTCGGAATTGAATCATTTTAAAAGCGTTGTTTTAAAAGCGTTGTTAAAAGCGTTGTAAGAATCGTGCGCACTGACGCGAGCAGGTTTGTCACGTGGTACTTTTTGTAGTTCACGGGCATTTGCCATTAGCGGAAAAGCAGTAATACCTAACAGATATAAAATTAAAATTTCTCTAATCGGACGTTTTGCGAACCGATCTACAGCTTTCTCATTGAATTTTTTATTTATCTCTGTTTTTTGAAAAGTTAGTTCATTAAATATATATGTCTAAACAATATTTGATGACACAAAAAGTAGTCTTCTAACTCCAGGCAACGGTCAGTAACATGCATTTGGTCACGTCGTAACTACGTGTTCCGACATATTTTCAAACTCTGGCTCCACTATAGAGGACACCCTGTATACTAACATACCTGGTATCAGTGTCAGGTAGGACATCACGAGCCTCCCTAACTAAAGATCCGCCTGTGTTACTTTGGCCTGCGTTTGGTTTGCTACGAAACATTTCAAATAACTTACTTCAGACGCAAGTGCAGTCTTTCGCCAAAACGCTACTTATTCAGGGGTGCATCAAGCCTCTGGCCTAAAGCGACCATACTCGTTCCATACATACCCCTCCCTTTTCCGTATAGTTTTCCTGATAATTCTTCACTGCTTGATCTGGCAGTTCAGCAGAGTACGCGAATAGACTTTTATGTTCTGGTTAAGTGCGATTGGTTGTTGATCTCGTACTTGTTGCTATCTCCTTAATGACTAAAAGAGAATAACTAATCGCAGTGCTGCAGAAGAAGTGGCAATTGGGTGAGTTTGGTGCTGTTGAGTGGATTGGCTCTGATAAAACGAGGACAAAGGGAATTCACAGAAACAAACATTACTACTGTTCACACAATGAACGTCGTTAGAGGTCTAAGTGGTTTTAGCTGGGGCATTAGAACATGTGTTTCTGCGCTGAATAAAGTTGTTGTAGGAACAGCGCTAGTGATTACGTTTTATCCACCCATGTTCTCGTTGAATCCACTCAGCCTGTTTAGATGTTAGAATCCACTCAGCATGTGAATACGCTGAATCCACTCAGCATGTTTAAAAGTGCCGTATTTCTTCACAACACTGCAATACCCTACATAGCTAGGTAGTAGCTTACACACTGCAATATTGATTACTGAACATTTTGTCATACTTACCTCATTCTAGGGCAGAACCTTCGGGTGGCTCTGTGCACGACGAGAACCAGCAGACAACACGAGACCATAACCAGACGTTCAATATCCATGACTATCGGCCACTCACACGTTTCATCTGTTTTTGTTTTTAGGGGCGAAGCTCCTTGTAGTCTAACCTTGTCACTAGTCACTCGTCACCGAGAGAAAAGAGACGAGAAAGAAAAAAAGGCAGAAGAAATGGTTGACAATTTGTCGTCTCAATTCCTTGATGGCGTTACTCTACTGCTACTCTCCGAAGTGCTGCTACTCTCTGATTGGCTGCGGCACGCACGCTTTGCGTGAATGCGTGAACGAGTGCCTCTCTCTGTCTCCTGGATTGTCACCGTACGTGGCGGATCATTGGCGGAGCATGGATAGAGTAGAGGGGCGGGCGAGTTGAAGACGCTTCCGCTAAGCTTCCTTGGCTCGTGTCTCGTCCGTGTTACCCGCACGCTGTCTGCTTTCTCAAAAGCGATCGGACACATGAACGCATGCACGGACGAACGAACACAGGGCCAAAAGAACGGACTGACGCTTCGCCCTCTCATCATCATTCACTCCGTTGATATGCTGCGATTTGCTTTTTTTATTTTTCGCTTTTCCTCTCTTCAATATGCTTTCTTTTCTAGCTCCATCGAATTTCTTCGATACCAAGAGGAACGTCACAGAAGTGCTCCGTGCGTGCGTTCTTGTGTGTGAGTGTGCAAAGCCCCGTGACTAAAGCTGGATCTGCATTGCTGTCGAAGGCAAATGCCCAAATCGTTTTTGTCAGCATGAGTCAGGTCATAATTGCATATTACTGTCTCTCGCAATGCACTAACAGGTTCTTGTACTTTGAAGCTTTCCTTCGTTAAGCCTATTCTGTCCGAGATCCACGGTAACGCTTGCGCATCTCGTAAACGAATATTTGCCACAGACATATGTAAATCCTACCTCTCAATAAAACCCCTAAATATGGAAGCTACAGTTACGTCCACAAAGGCATATGCCTAATAAATCGGAGTGGCCTATGAAATAGTTATCATCATCATAAACGCGTATGTACCACAGAAATTAGGTAATCGTATACTACACCCATCTGGAACAATTAAAGAAAAAGGCTACTGTTGGGTTCACGAATGGCCTGTGTGTTATATAGTCAGACTACCATCCCGTGATAGTTAGTTGTTATAATAAAAGTTGCTTGCTATTTGGCAACCTCAAAGCTTAACAAAGAGTGTTTAATTAAGTGCAGTGATACACCATATCGGAGCATCTGGAGCGAAGGGTTCTTTGTAAACGTCCATTAATGATGTCATAAAATTATACTACCGCTTTAAAGCTTAAAAAAGGGGGCTTAATGAAAAGCACTGACAGAAAGTACTTGAAACATTTGCAAAACAGAAATGCGTTAGCTTGATGAAGGGAACGCCATCAAATTCACTGTTTCATCAGCGTCCGTGAAGTGGAGCTTGATTATTTTTCTGATCAAGCGTTATTTGTTTCTTTGCGAAATAATTATTCTGAGGCCCTACTACATTAAGGTTTTTTGTTCCAGAATATTAGGCTTCTGGCGCATGTGATGTACAGCGGTCACTTTATTGTTTTTTTTTTCGTTGCAAACCACGGCTGTATATGATATTTACGCTTTCGACGCTCTGAACACTGACGTCTTACTCTGATATAAAACATTTTTTTCTTTAGTGTTCATTTGGGCGTGATACATTCGTTTTATTGGCTCTCAGATTGACGTCTTAATTAGACACGAAATGATATTTCTCTTTACTTTAAGCCCTAAAGCATCATATGTTCGCTGTCAACGGCTTTCAGATACAGCTAATCCACAGCGTTAGAAATCAACAATACCTGCAATGGCGAGGTGCATTATGAAGAAGTTCATGCGAGACTTTCGGCCTTTGGGAAGAGCGGCGAGCACGGCACTGTTGCCGAGGACAATGCAGGCGAAGAGGATCCACAGGAAAGTCAACGTCTCCACCTGTAAACAAGACATAACGATAAGTGCTTATCGTAATAAAAAGTATCATCACAGCTAAAAACATCTAGCCAATCTAGGTACACCCCAAAGTATAATTTTTAAAGAAAAACACACATTTAGGGTAATGAAATTAAAGAACGACGCTTCATGCTTCCCGCTTAATTTGAGCAACCAAATAAATACATAAATATACACACGTGCACTCATGTAACTCATCGACTAAGCGTTGGTGTGAAAAACCAACACCGATAATTGTTGTCCAAATGTGCAAATCATGCTACCTTCGTCAATTTAGGGACGCATATTTTGTTCCCATATGGAGCGGATACACGTCAAAATCACCAGCCATAAAAAAATAGCCCTACTCACCTGGTTGTATGCTGGAAAAGAAACTCTGATATGTATAAACTGAGACAAAAGATTTAGTTCCCTTAAATTTCAGGTGAGAATTTAGTTTTGCAAAAGTTGCCCTCAGCGAGTCACAAGAAAATTTCCGCATCAGCGACACAACACGTGTCAATGAAGCAAAAAAATTTGTATGTGAATATTTGGAATTGAACAGAAGAAACCAGTACAATATTACCAATATTACATCCAGAGCATCTACCCTGCATAATATTTGTCGTGACGGCGACTCGACCTGCTTGAATCTATAGTGTGTGTGTGGATCTCATAAATTATTTCATTAATATTACACTCGCGCTGGGAAATAATTAATGACAGTGTATGACTAGTGCGCAGCTGTACAGGGCACATATCTCGTGCAAATAGGGAGGGTCTCCCTTATTCGGGAACGTGAGAGTGTTTGAGTTGCGCTTTGGTTCAGGGTGAGTGGCACGTACTTTTAGTTCTCCTGCCACTCACTTTCAAATCTAATCAACGGATTCTTGAGGGTACACCTTACCTGCAATACCTAACACCGGCAAGACCAACCTGCACACATTTCAGAGCATTCAAGCCAAGCACTTAAAATATGCTTTGGATTACCCCGCAATGGTTCAACGGCTGAAACAATTCACATCACTCAATCAAGACACACTCTTACCGAGACACTGCGCATGCACCTTAGGCATTATGCCAGAACCCCTTCCCACTACCTCGTGAGCCTGTCGGCTGAAAGGCCTCGCACGACATATGGTGTCCCTGTCTGCAAGCATTTTTCATCATTTACTGAGGCGTACACACCTGCATCAAAGCCACTGCTTCCTCCTCAGAGCTTGAGCCGGCCGCGAGTTCACTTAATGATCCCAGGATTGCGGAGAAAATCGGACTTACCGACTCACGCCATAAAACAACTGAGTATATGCCTACTAGAACAAAACTACAGTAACCACGTGCACACTTACACGGATGGCTCCATTACACTGTTTAGTCCGGGTGGGGCAGTGGTTATACCATCACAGAGGATAAATTGGCGTTTTGAGACTTCCCATGCGACAACGTTCACGACGGCAAAACTTGAGGCTCTGCTTAGTGAACCGGAACTCATCAATGCTGAAGAAAGGCCAAGTAAATGGGCCGTGTTTTCTTACTCAGAACCAGCGTTACAGTGCCTGCGGTCAGTTCTCCGACGCGGATGCCACGACTAGTCTACCTACCAAACCGCTAACGTCACCACCTCTTAATACAAAAAGGTCACGACAATGTCTTTCAATGATTACCTGGGTATTGTGGTATAGGCGGAAATGATTCCACAGATCATGCTGGTCGCACCTCACATGAAGAAGCAAACATTGTTCAAATTCAGCGCTCGACAGCGGACGCGGCGAGGCAGCTTTGTCAACTGGCCCGCAGTCTCCCACTGACTCAGTGAAACAAACCAAGCATATGACGTACAAGACTACACGAGCTTGACCCTTCACTACTACTCCGGCATCCAGCCGGCCTACATCGACATGAAGCTTCGCTTCTCTATCTCTTTTTGCTGGGAGTTGCTTTTACGAAAGCTTATACCACGTTAATCGGAATGTCTGACAAAGCGGCATGCGATGTTTGCGGCACTGATGAAAATATCGAACACGTCCTGTGCCACTGTCCCCTGTCCCCGAATTACCTCAGACACCCAAATACTTGCCACCACAATGCGGCGACTGGGTTATCGGCCTCTTTCTATGCAGATGCTCTTACAGCAGCGTCCACATCTCTCGACAGCCCACAAGACAGTGAATGCCCTCTTGTGTTTCTTGAGAAATCCGGAATTGTGTGAATGCCTCTGACATGTGGTGGAGTTCTACACGCTGCAGTGAATTTACTGTATGTCTCTCCCTTTTCAATCTCTTCCCTCTTTTTCATTTTTCTCGTCCCCTTCCCTAATCTCCCAGTGTAGATTAGCCAACCGAATGTCTTTCTAGTTAACTTCCTTGCCTTTCCCCTTTTGTTGCTTCCTTCCTTCCTAATCAACGCTGCGGTCACTCAAAATATAAAGTTTTATTTGCGAACAGGCAGCCGGATTTCGGTGCCCAGCTGCCTCTGGCAGTCTTTGCTGGTGAGTGAGAGAATACTTGTTATTCTCATGACGTCTACACTGCAAGCCTCTGCCAGCAGGGCGGATTACTTAAGGTCGGGTAGCTCGGTTGGCTAGTAAATTAGAAAGATTGGAACAAACAGCAGAGCTGTGGTGCATAGTCAAAAAAGAGGGTAGCAACAAACGTGTGAAAAAAGTACGGAAAGTACATGCTTCAATTCAGAAATGCTGTAGCATGCCAGCATTGGTACGTTACAGCACTTACTGCAGAATTTTGGAGTCGAGCAAGTTAGAACATATTCAAAAAAATAGGGTGCACAAACACGGACACTGAACGCTGAACGTTTACACAAGTCCGTTATGTGAAGTCCGAGCATGGTTGCACAGAGTGATAGAAGTAAACGTGTCGTAAGTATAACATGCATTCATCACGCATCTCACAGGCTGTAAATTGGCAGATCCCACGTACAGTGGTAATTGATGATATGCGAAGCACGAATAAGGAAGGTTTATATGTCACTTCGAAATCACCACAACGGTATACAAGGTGGAGGTAAATTATGTCGAACATGACGTCCATGTCATGATTATCATGTTTGGAAGTGTCGTTTACCTTCGACATCTAATCAAGTCCCGTGATTGCATATTTGGTATATGTAAAGCTAGCGAAACAGTTGCGAGCACGCTATGAACGTGAAATGTTGTCATGTTCTTGCATGACACACATGTCGTGATTATCATCTTGACACCAGTGATATACCTTCATCATTCATGTACACCACGTTACGCCAAATTTTGCATATGTGGAAGTATCGGAATGACCGCGAGTGCATCATGAAGCACCCAGTATACTCCAACGTGACGTTGACGCGCGCCCGCGTGCTGGGCACAGCGACGCTATACGTTAGTAAAACGCGGAAACTCCATTGTCTCAGAGGCCAGACGCGTCTCGCATGGGCTCCTGCTTTTCGCGCTTTTTAACCCGAAACAAGGCCAGTGACGAACCCAAGAGTTTCACAGCCTCAGCCGCCAAGACACGAGGAATCGGCGGACACTAGCTTCTTTTGGGTGAGTGTATTCTGTCTCAAGATATAAGACTCAATTCCCGACAAGTACGCGTCCAGTTTATTAAGCCTAACGCCAAGTTCGTTCCTGAGCAAAACTGCGCGGCTCGTGCACAACGCGCTCAGGCGTTCCTGACGACACGGCACGAGTGCTCGCGCTCACCGTGGCGAAAAGCATAGAACGAGCCGAGACGCAGCCGCAGCAAGCGAAATGCAAAGAAACTAGCCAGACGAAGAAAATACAATGCAAACTGACCCAGTGGAGGCCAACAAAACAGCGGAAAATTTGTGGACCTATGACGCTGGCAGTGGCAGAACAATTGCAACGGAAAGCGCTTGGATCACGAGAAATAAGAAAGACAAGAAGGCTGTCGCCAATCCAAGGACACCGGCCAACCAACCCACAGAGCAGCCACCTAACAATGAGCAGACGCTAAAGTCATAAACAACGCAGCAACAACGCAGGCCCAAGATGCCACCTCTGCCGCTTGATGACGTTAAGATCGTCTACCGCCCGCAAGCAGGTCTTGACCTCGCCAAATGGAACACCGTCGCTGTCACGCATGGCATGGGTAGAGTGAGTGGACTATCACAGCAAGACTTTAACGACAAGGTACGCGTACAAGTCCAGACAATAGAAAACCTAATCATCGCAAGCACCGTCGCCAAAGAAGACGCCAAGGAGCTGGTAAGCATCCAGAAAATACAGCTTGAAGGAAATTTTTACACTGAACGGAAACATCAGAACACCGGATGATGTCTCCAGAGGCGTCATCAGTGGCTTGATAACTGGTACGAGCACCGCAGAACTCATGGCTGGAATTCGTGCACCGGCAAGATACACAGTTATTCACGCCCGAATGCTAGGTCTATCGACCGTGGCAGTCATCTTCTTTGAAGGACAGCACGTTCCCTACAACATAATTTTCCAGAGCGTAGACTTCCACTGCAGGCCATATCGTAAGTCAGTGCAGTATTGCCGAGCTTGTGGCAATACGGGTCACCGCCAGGACGTCTGTCTGAAACCCATCCCGGATTTCTGCTATAAATGCGGCAAGGCCAGACAAACGCAGGGACATGAATTTGCACCCATCTGCAAGATCTGCGGGGAAGGACACGAAACAGCAAGTAAAGAAAGCAAAACGAGACTAAAGCCAAGTCCACCACCCTTCAACGTAAGACAACAGCGCCTCAACAGGCTTCAAGAAATAGATAACAACTGGAACGCCAGCGGAGAAGAGTTACCTGAGATTAGCATATCGGCCGCTACCTTTAACAGTAACAATGAGGGCCGCCTCTCCACGCGCAGCAGTTTCAAGTCAATATTGCGTTCGAGTTCGCGCTCCCACTCTCGCACGCGTTCCGTCTCTACGCGCAGTAGATCCAAAGCAATACTGCAATCCAGTTCGCGCTCCCACTCTCGCACGCGCTCGCATTCCGTTAAACGTGCGAGAGAGAGAGATTTAACTTTA